AACACCATTTTAAAACAGGACATATTTTTAAATTTGACGCAGCAACTACCCTAGATTTACAGGAAAACTGGTACAAAAGAAATATTAGCGAAACATATCACATATGTAATAATAATACGGTAAATTATAGAACATACAAAAACAACTTAAATCACATCTGCAAAGGAATAATTAAATTTTAAACATAATAAATAATAAAGGAAACCTTACACTGATGATATCTAGGCTAACAAACASTAGTCTAGATTAAAACAGTTTTGTTGAGGCTTTTAAATAATAAAGATCAAACTAACGAAGTTTTAGATGTATTGTGTTTTAGAATATTATAAAAAGAAATGTATGTCGAAATTAAATAAGAAGGACCCGGAGCTTTATTGATTAAGGTAATATGTAAAAAAATTATAGTGTATAAAACGCATGTATCGTAATGAGAAATGTATAAGAAAATAAATTTTCCAGTTGCTGAAGAAGTCCCAATAAAGGGACGAAACGTCCAATTTAATCAAAATAAGTTCTACTTATTTTCATGTCCAAGTTCCCTGTGATATTTTATCATTAAAAATGATATTTGCTATATTTTATCTAACTTAACGCCTTTTATTTGTAAGTACACGCTTAAAAACTTGAAAACAACGTTCTATAGCTTTCATTATTTAGCATTTTTTTAGGAGTCTAATAGTTTTCCACTATTTATAAATCCAGAAGGCAGCGAAACTTTTTTTTAAAAATATTAAAAAAATTTTAGCAACGGTAAAAATGTGCTATAAGAAACTAAACAGAATAGATGTTAGGTTGACTAAAATCGAATTTCGTCGAAAAAGTATTGAATTCGATACGTAAAGTAACCAAAAAAAGTTGTTATACAGTGATTTTTTTTCTTCTTTGGGACTGCAGTTTTTAAAATATAAATGATATTAGCTAGATTATATCAGACTAACACTTTTTAATTGTTAGTATACGCTTTAAAACTGGAAAATAAACGTTTTATAGCTTTTGTTATATAGCACTTTATAGAAATCCGATAGTTTTTAACTATTATTTAATCCACAAAGCAGCGAACTTTTCTCGTAAATATATTAAGAATTTTTTAGCGGAGGTAAATTTGTGCTATTAGAAACTAAACAGAATAGATGTTAGATTAACTACAATCGAGTTTCGTCAAAAAATAGTTAAATTCTGCACGTTAAGTAACCAAAAAAATTGTAATCAAAAGATTATTTTTTTTTTTTAATTTTCAGTTGTTAAAATATAAATGATTATTGCTTGATTTTATCAGACCTAACACATTTTAATTGTAAGTAAACGCTTTAAAATATGAAAGAAAACGTTTTATAGATTTTGTTCTATAGCAATTTTTTAAGAATCTAATAAGTTTTACCTACTATTAAATCCATAAATAAGCGAAAAATTTTTATAATATATTAAAAATTTTAAGCGACGGCAAAAATGGGCTATTAGAAACTTAACAACTAGGATTTCAGATTGACTACAATCGACTTACGTCGACATAGAATAGACTTCTACACGTAAAGTAACCAAAAAAACTTGTATTAAAATGATTTTTTCTCTTTTTTTTACTACAGGTATCATCCATATTATGATGTCCTCTGTCAATGTGTCTTATTACGATAATTAAATTTTAATATTTCGTTATATATGTTGCTTAGATTATTTGTATCTGTCCTGTAGTTGACTGTATTGTTGTTTGTTATATGGTACATTTCGCTTATGTTTCTTTTGTACCAATTATCTTCTTTATCTAAAATAT